TGCCAGAGAAGCCCCGTACCCATGTTCTGGATCTCCTTGTCCCCCCCCATAGTCGGTGATTTTCTTGCCCAGGTTCACCAGGACGTGGTACCGCGTGTCGTCCGTCTGGCCCAGCAGGAGGTCGATCTCCTTCCGACGCTCCTTGTCCCGCAGCTTCTCATTCTTCAGCACAGCCAGGACCTCATCAGCTGCCCCACAAAGGATGTCCCGGGGCTGGGAAAGGGGTGACAAGCAGGGAATTCAATATGGAAAAAGTCTTGAATTTTTCTGGGCCCCCCAAGTACCAAAGAACCACTTCAGCACAATGAAACCACCATTGGAACATCCCCAAGCCCCAAAGCAGCACCAACAGAGGAAAAAAAAGGGAAGGACAACTTTTCTTGATGCCCAGAGAAGCTGTGGATGCCCCTGGATCCCTGGAAGAGTCCAAGGCCAGGTTGGACAGGCCTTGGAGTAACCTGGCCTAGCAGAAGGTGTCCCTGCCCACGGAACTGGATGGTCTTTAAGGTCCCTGCCGAGGCAAACCATTCCATGTGCTAGTTTAGATTGGATATTGGGAAGAAATACTGGTTGTCCCTGGGTCCCTGGAAGTGTTCCAGGCCAGGTTGGACGGGGCTTGGAGCAACGTGGTCTATGGAAGGTGTCCCTGCCCATGGCAAGGGGTGGAATAGGATGATCTTGTTCCTCCAACCCAAACCATTCTATATCTCCATGAACCCATGGGATGACAGGCATAGATTAACCAATCCAAGGGCTGGATCTCTCTAACCCAGGCTGCGATCCCAGCCTCACCTGGTCCCCCAGGGCTGCCTGGATGAAGCTCAGCAGGACCTCATAGGTCTCACGGGTCTCCTTGGTCTTAGGTTTGTAGATGATCCCAACCATCTCATCGATGCCCTCGGACAGCAGAGTGTAGCCCTTCATCTTGTTGATGTCGTGCCTGTCCTCGTCCCTCTTCCTCCTCCTGCGGACAGGAGCATGAGTGGGACATGGAGTCAGAGCCAGAAAGTACCACAGGGCTTCTTAATTTCAAAAATAAAGGGATAAAACTGATTAATTTTAATTTCTCCTCTGTGATTTTCAGTTCCTAACACAGAGCAAGTGACTCCAAGTGGAGAAAATGATGTGTTTCTGACTTCCATGTTGGTGGGGTTTGGTCTCCAGCCCTGTGCTCACACCATCACAAGGTTTTCCACCTCCAAATATTCCCAACACTGGAGAAGAGAAAGGTCCAGGGAGACCTTGGAGCCCCTTCCAGTGCCCAAAGAGGCTCTAGGAGAGGGACTTTAAACAAGGGATGGAGGAACAGAACAAGGGGGAATGGCTTCCCACTGGAAAAGGGGAGATTTGAGTGGGATATGGGGAAGAAATTCCTCCCTGTGAAGGTGGGGAGGGGGTAGGATGCAATTCCCAGAGAGGCTGTGGCTGCCCCTGGATCCCTGGCAGTGCCCAAGGCCAGGCTGGACCTTGCTCTGGTGTCAGGTCAATGGTCTTTAAGGTCCCTCCCACCCCAAACCTTTCTGTGACCCCCCAAAATCCCATTTGGGGACAGGAATTCCCATTCCAGGCCCAGCTCCCGCTCACTTGGCTCTTCTCTCCTCCTGCATCTGGGGTTTGGTCCTCTGGGCCTTGTCTCCCATGCGGGTCCCCTCAAGCTTCCCCACCAGTGACAGCACCTCCCCTGTAGGCTCATCCCGGCGTGTGCGATCGATCAGGGACCGGTCGGCTTGGAGCACCAGGTTGGAGTTCTGGAGGACGGAGAACAGGATCAGGGGAGCCCTGAAATGGGGCTGGGGGGGGAGCAGGGAGACCCTGGAATAGGACTCAGGGGAATGGGGATCCTGAAATGGGTCTGAGAGGAACTGGGAGGGGTCCCAGAATGGGGCTGAGGGGGGTCAGGAGGTTCCAAAATAGGGCTGAGAAGGGTCAGGGGGGTCCTGAAACAGGTCCACCTATAGGGCTGAGGGTCCTGAAATGGGGCTCAGGGGCACCAGGGGTCCCAAATGTGCAGCCGAGGAGGGTCAGGGGGTCCTGAAATGGGACTGAGGGAGTCAGGGGGTCCCACTGGAGATCCCACCAAGGGGATGAGGGGGCTGGAGGGGTCCCTCCATGGGTTAGGGGGGGGCCTGGGGATCCCGAAATGGGTCCCAACCTGGGGCGGGGGGGGGGCGGGGGAGTCCCGAAGGAGGGGCTGAGGTGGGTCAAAGGGTCCCACCGTGGCGCTGAGGGGGGTTGACGATACCGGGGGAGGATTCACGGCACTGGGCCCGCACTCACCGCCTTGTACTCATACTGCAGGCTCCGGGCGGTCACGTCCGCCATAGTGGGGCCGAGATGGGGGCCGAGGCCGGGACTAGGGTCAGAACCGGAGCCGGGGCCGGACGAGGCCGCGCCGCCGCCGCGCCGGAACTTCCGGGTCGCGCCGCCGTTTCCGCCTGACCCGGAAAAGCGTCTGCACTCCGGGAGCGCAAGGCCGCGCCCGCCCCACTCTGATTGGTTGGTGTGGGCTACACCCCGCCCCCCGGCACCGAGAAATGGCTATGATTGGTCTATCTGCTCGCCCGCCGCGCTCTGACTGGCCAGCAGATGTGTGGGTGGGGCGGAGGTTTGAAAACGCAAGGGCGGGGCAGGGGCGGGGGCAGCTCTCCGTCCACCGCTTCCTATTGGCTGTTCCCGAGTAAGCCACGCCACCTGCTCCTGGCCCCGCCCCTTCCGCGGTGAGGGGAGACGTGATGGCCTCGCGAGATGCTGCCGGCCCTGCCAGCCCCTCTGCTCCTCCCGGGGGTCTGTCCTGCTCCCGATGCCACAGCCTGGTGCTCTGTGCCCCGTGGGTTCCTCCACGCGTGCCGCGGACGCTGCGCCCTCGTTATCTCTGCCCCGCTAATTAGTGGAGCAGTGCTAATGCCAGCGCCTGGAATGGTGCCCGCCGGCCATGCCGGCCTGGCCCTGCCCCAGCGGGGACATCACCACGGGGGTTTTGAGGCCCCTCGGTGACACGGCACCTTCCCCTTCCAGTTCCTGGGGTCACCCAGCTGTGCCACCACGTCCACAGTGCCCACCTGGAGCTCATCCTCCTCCTCTCCTCCCTCACCCTTGCCCAGGCAGGTACTCCAGGAAAGTATCCTAGGCAGGGACTCTGTAAAGGGATCCTGGGCAGGGATCCTGGGCAAATATCACAGGCAGGATTCCTGGACAGGGATCCTGGGAAAGCATCCTGGGCAGGTACCCAGGCAAGGACCCTGGGCAGGTAAACTGGGCAGGTGTCCAGGAAAAGTACCCTGGGCATGGACCCCCAGCAGGATTACTGGGCAGGTATCCCGGGAAGGTGTCCCAGTCAGGTCCCAGCCAGACCAAATCCACCCATGCCCACAGCGCTGTGTCCAGTGGGATGCCATTGGCCTCTGCCACCCGTGGGAGGGTGGCAGGAGCTGCCAGGGCCCCGTGCCAGGGCCGGGAGGCGGCTGCTCTAATTTCTTTATTCCAGACGGTTGTGCAGACACAAAGCAGGCATGGCCCAGCTGCTGGCACTATCCCCTTGCCACGGACACCAGGGGCACCAGGGCTGGGGGTGGCACCGGGAATGGCACCAGGACCATGGCAACAGTGGGTGGCTCCAGGGGTGGCACTGGGGCCATGGCAGCACAGGGGATGGCACCGGGGACAGGCATATGGGCACACACTGGCCCCTCCCTCACCTCTTGTCCCTCTCCCCAGGGAATTTTTCCAGGCCATGTTGGAGCTGCTGTGGGAGCCACCGGACACGGGGCCACCCCCAGGGCATGGGCACAGGCCACCCCCAGGGCATGGGCACAGCCGGTGGCACCATATAGGGGGAACCTGCCAGAAGGTCCAGCCCTGAACCACCTCTTGGGACAGTTCCCAGTGCTGGCACAGCCCAGAGGGACCCAAAGGAGCCTCCTTGGTGGGATGTGGGTGACGTGGGGCACCCCAAAATGTCCCTGTGCCCCTCTTGGTGACCCCTGTGCCCACCCACAGGGAGTCAGGCTGAGCCAAATGGGGTTAAACCAAACTGGGCTGAACCAAACTAGGCTGAGCTGAGCCTGGTTAAGGTGACCTGAACTGGGCTGAGCCAAACCAGGACACCCCAAACTGGACTGAGTTGAGCCTGGTTGAACTGAGCTGAACCAAGCTGAGCCAGGCCTGGGCTAAGCAAGACCAGGTTAAACTGAGCCGAGCTGAACTGAACTGAGGTGAGCCAAGCTAATCTGATCCAGGTAGTTCCAATCTGACACAATTGGTTCTGATCCAATCTGAGCCGACTGTTTCCCATGCAATCCAACCCGATCTGACCCGATCCAAACCTGGCTGAGCAAAGCCAGGTTAAGCTGAACCAAGCCCAGCCAAGCTGAGCTGAGCTGACTGGTTCCAGTCTGATCCAACTGGTTGTGATCAGACCTCAGCTGAGCTGAACCAAGCTGGGCTGTGCCAAGTGGTTCCAAACAGACACGACTGGTTCTGATCTGATCCAACAGTTTCTGATCCCACCGGGCCATGATGGGGGTGCTGTGGGAGCTGGGCTGAGCCAATGGGTTCCAATACAACCCAACTGGTTCTGATCCGATCTGATCTGGGCCAGGTTGAGCTGAGCCCAACGGAGCTGAGATGAGCTGAGCTCATGGTTCTGGATCCGACCTGACTAATTCTGATCCAAATCAAACTAAGCCAAACCGAGCTGGGCTGAGCCAACCGGTTCCAGTACGACCTGACTGGTTCTGATCCGATCTGAGCCGAACGGTTCCGATCCCACCCGAGCGGTTCCGATCTGACCCGACCCGACCCGACCCGCGCCCCCTCCGCGGGGCTCCGCGCGTGACGTCACTGCGGGGGCGTGTCCCCGCGGAGCCGCGCGGCGCGCACCCGCCGCCGCCCCTCACGGCCGCTCCCGCCTCAGCCGGGCCCCCCCCGCCCCCCCCCCCCCCCCCCCCCCCCCCTCCCCGCCCCTCACGGCCGCCGCCGCAGCCTCCCGCGCCCCCCCGAAGCCCCCCGGGCCCCCCGCCCCTCACGGCCGCTCCCGCCGCCCCCCTCGGACCCCCCCGGAGCCGCCGTCGCGCCCCGAGGTGAGTGCGGGCCCCCCCCGCGCCGGCCCGGCCCCCCCGCCCCGCCCCGGTATTGTTGTGGCGGAGCCGCGGGGGCGGAGGGAGGAGGGGGAGGTGCTTTGTTCCGCCCGGTACCGGCCATCGGGACCGGCTCCCCCTGCTCGTGGGGGGGCCGGGACCCCCCGTCGGTAACGGGGACGTCCCCACTGCCGGGAGCCGTCGGTGCAACGGGAACCGCCCCCCCCAGTACCGGCAACCGGTGGGCGGGAGGGGCCCCTACCCGCGGGTGCCGTGGGGAGCCCCGGGATGGGAGCATCGTGGCTGGCGCTGCAAATAGGGACCCCCCCAATGTGGGATGGGACCCCCGGGTGGCACCGTCGTGGAGATCCCCGTGGGATGGGACCATTGTGGGGACTCCTTGGGTTGGCACTGCCACAGGGACCCCCTACCCAGGATGGGACCCCACCCAGGATGGCACCGCTGTGGGGTCGTGGGACGCCAGACTCCCTGTGGGATCCCCAGGCATACAGCACCAAAACTGGGGACCCCGGGGACCCCGTCCTGCCTGTTGCACTCTGATGGTGCCTGTCCCCACTTTGGGCACCCTGGCCGTGCCCAGGGCACCCCAGCTTTGGCTGTTGTACCCAGCCATGCCTGTGGCACCCCAGCTTTGCCCATGGCACCCCTGTTTTGCCCATGTCACCCCAGCTGTGCATGTGGCACCCTGGCCATGACTGTGGTCTGTGGCACCTTTACTGTGCTTTTGTCTCCAGAGCCAAACCTGTTGTACCCTAGATACGCCCGTGGCACTCCAGCTTTGCCTGTTGTACCCCAGCCGTGTCCCTGGCACCCCAGATTTGCCTGTTGCACTCTGCCCATGCCCATACTGCTGCGGCCATGCCTGTTGCACCTCATCTTTGCCCATGGCATTCCAGATTTGCCTGTTGTACCCTGACCATGTCTGTGGCACCCCAGCTGTGCCTTTGGCACCCCAGAGTTGCTCATGGCACCCCAACTGTGCCCACAGCACCCTGGGCACGCCTATGGCACCCGAGCTTTGCCTGTGGCATCCCAACTGTGCCCGTGTCCTGGCCCTGCCCAGGGCATCCCATCTTTGCCCATATGACCCATCTTTACCCATGGCACCCTGTCCACGCCCGTTACACCCTGTCCACGCCCGTTACACCCTGTCCATGCCCGTGGCACCTCAACTGTGCCCGTGGCACCCCAGCTTTGCCCATGGCAGCTCATCTTTGCCTGTTGCACCCCAGCCGTGCCTGTGGCACCCTCAGCCCTCCGCCCTGCCGGGGTGTTCCCCATTCCCACGCCTGTTCCCGGCCTCCCACCCTCCCGGAAATCCTTCCCTGGCGGCGCGGGGGCCCTCCCGGACCCCCCCAACTTCCTGCTTCCCGCCGGGCAGGGCAGAACAATTCCCGGCCGCCGCATCCTGCCCGGCCCGGGGCACGGGGGGGGGCACTGCGGGGGCGCCCCCAGGACACCAGGCAGGGCCTGGGGGTCCGGGGCAGGACGTGGGGTGGGGAGGGGGAGCGGACGGGACGAGTTTCCTGAGCCTCGTCACAGCTGGAGGAGGGGCTGTGGCGGCGGGGGGGCAGAGTCGAGGACCCCCCAAGGGCGTGGGGGGCCCTCGTGACACCCTTCCCTCAATGCCGCCTTGTCCCCGTGCGGCCCGCGTGACGCTGCTGCCCCGTGGCCCTGACGGGGCCCCGACGTGGCCGTGTCTCCCCCCAGGGACCCCCTGGTGTCCCCCCAGCGCCATGGCCCCTGGCCGGCCGCTGGCCCTTGCCTCGCTGCTGGCCCTTGCCACCGCTGCTGCTGCCACCGCTGTCACCGCCCCGGGGGCCTCGTGGAGCGCCGTGCCCCGGAGAACTGTCCTCTATGCCGGTGAGTACTGGGGGACACCCTGGGGGGCTCAGGGAGGGAGGGGAAAGGGGGAAAACTAAGGCACAGTGGGTGGGAGCGTTGATTCTGTCCCTTGCTGACAGTGGGTGACACGTTGGTGGTTCAGGCACAAGGCTTTGGCTCGTCCCCCCAAAGCTTGTCAGCACTGTGGGACCCCCTCCCCCAGGTGGGTGTTCTCAAAATTTGGAATCCAAGAGGAGGGACATGCAGGGACTGCTCCGTGTCCTGGTGCTGTGCCGGTGCCTGGGGAACCCAGGCCTGTGCTATGTCCCATCCCTCTTCCATGTCCCTGGTATCATCCCTCCGCCATGTCCCCTGTCCCCAGCCCTGTGCCATGTCCCTTGTCCCATCCCTCTCTATGTCCTCCTGCCCTGCCAGCATCCTGAGATTCCATCCTTTTCCCATCCCAGCACAGTGTCCCTGTGCTGTGCCATCACCCTGTGTCCCCATCTGCCATGCCCTGTG